CAGCAGCGAGTAGCTATACTATTTTAAGCAGAGCCATCTGCAACCTTTCACTGTATGTGTTCACATTGTCAGCCCAGTTTTGCGATATAACAAGTTGAGCCAGCGTGTTCGGGGTCCTCTCATCTATACAATCTTCATCTCTGAGGATGGTGAGAATGTATGGAATTGACAAGCCAGATAACGAAGACAGTTTCCTCAGCACACAGCCAAAGATTCTGTACCTCCTGGAAAATGGCTGCAAGTTTTTTTTTTTTCAGTGAGTAGCAAAGCTGTTTGCTTGAAAAGGTGCTGTTCTCATAAAAGATTAATAGTTGCCTACTGGCCCTGAGGCACCCAAGCCAACAACTCAGGATTCATAAATAAAACTAAATGGATCAATATTTCCAAGACTTTAGAGGTAACCTATGGCTACCCCTTCCTTGCGAGAGAAAGCTTTGAGAAAGGTTAGGCTTTAATCGAAGCCTTCCCCCAGTAATAATAAAGAAAGTGTGGTATTTAATCATCAGCACTGTGTGGTAACATACCTGAAATCAAGAGACCGATGCACATGCTGTGAAATAGAGAAGTTTAGGTACTGTATCTGTAATAATAAAAGTTAAACAAAACAGTATAATGGTACTATTTTGTAATTATTCTCACCAAACTGTAAAGCTATTGTGCTGACTCCACAGCAGTCCTTTTTCTTTACTTACAGGACACAGGGAACAAAGTGAGGATGAATTGTGGCCGAGGCATTCGGTGTCTCAACAGCCAACATCAGATGCTCATTAATCAAGTTTTATTGAACCAATGTGCCAAAGCAGAATGACATATTACGCCGGGAAGGAAAACTTGCATGACAAATATGACAAATAGAAACATTTGCCTGTAGTTTGCAAGGCCATTATCTTGGCAGCATGATGATGATAATTATGATGCATGTTTTGATTGTACAAGCTGTCGTGTCATCAGTGAATATCTAACAAATACACAGTATTTGTTCAGGTTTTGTCTACAGTTAACTGATACTTTGTATTTGCTGGAAGTTAACCCTACACTTTTACATCTAATGTCATTAGAATATCGTTAAACTGTAGTTACTACTGTCTGTATTACCAATATTTCTATATACAGTACAGGCCAAAAGTTTGGACACACCTTCTCATTCAATGCGTTTTCTTTATTTTCATGACTATTTACATTGTAGATTCTCACTGAAGGCATCAAAACTATGAATGAACACATGTGGAGTTATGTACTTAACAAAAAAAGGTGAAATAACTGAAAACATGTTTTATATTCTAGTTTCTTCAAAATAGCCACCCTTTGCTCTGATTACTGCTTTGCACACTCTTGGCATTCTCTCCATGAGCTTCAAGAGGTAGTCACCTGAAATGGTTTCCACTTCACAGGTGTGCCTTATCAGGGTTAATTAGTGGAATTTCTTGCTTTATCAATGGGGTTGGGACCATCAGTTGTGTTGTGCAGAAGTCAGGTTAATACACAGCCGACAGCCCTATTGGACAACTGTTAAAATTCATATTATGGCAAGAACCAATCAGCTAACTAAAGAAAAACGAGTGGCCATCATTACTTTAAGAAATGAAGGTCAGTCAGTCCGGAAAATTGCAAAAACTTTAAATGTGTCCCCAAGTGGAGTCGCAAAAACCATCAAGCGCTACAACGAAACTGGCACACATGAGGACCGACCCAGGAAAGGAAGACCAAGAGTCACCTCTGCTTCTGAGGATAAGTTCATCCGAGTCACCAGCCTCAGAAATCGCAAGTTAACAGCAGCTCAGATCAGAGACCAGATGAATGCCACACAGAGTTCTAGCAGCAGACCCATCTCTAGAACAACTGTTAAGAGGAGACTGCGCCAATCAGGCCTTCATGGTCAAATAGCTGCTAGGAAACCACTGCTAAGGAGAGGCAACAAGCAGAAGAGATTTGTTTGGGCCAAGAAACACAAGGAATGGACATTAGACCAGTGGAAATCTGTGCTTTGGTCTGATGAGTCCAAATTTGAGATCTTTGGTTCCAACCGCCGTGTCTTTGTGAGACGCAGAAAAGGTGAACGGATGGATTCCACATGCCTGGTTCCCACTGTGAAGCATGGAGGAGGAGGTGTGATGGTGTGGGGGTGTTTTGCTGGTGACACTGTTGGGGATTTATTCAAAATTGAAGGCACACTGAACCAGCATGGCTACCACAGCATCCTGCAGCGACATGCCATCCCATCCGGTTTGCGTTTAGTTGGACGATCATTTATTTTTCAACAGGACAATGACCCCAAACACACCTCCAGGCTGTGTAAGGGCTATTTGACCAAGAAGGAGAGTGATGGAGTGCTGCGGCAGATGACCTGGCCTCCACAGTCACCGGACCTGAACCCAATCGAGATGGTTTGGGGTGAGCTGGACCGCAGAGTGAAGGCAAAGGGGCCAACAAGTGCTAAACACCTCTGGGAACTCCTTCAAGACTGTTGGAAAACCATTTCAGGTGACTACCTCTTGAAGCTCATGGAGAGAATGCCAAGAGTGTGCAAAGCAGTAATCAGAGCAAAGGGTGGCTATTTTGAAGAAACTAGAATATAAAACATGTTTTCAGTTATTTCACCTTTTTTTGTTAAGTACATAACTCCACATGTGTTCATTCATAGTTTTGATGCCTTCAGTGAGAATCTACAATGTAAATAGTCATGAAAATAAAGAAAACGCATTGAATGAGAAGGTGTGTCCAAACTTTTGGCCTGTACTGTATTTGACTGTGGTCATTACATAGCCAGAGTTTTTGTTGTTGTTTGTTTTGTTTTGTTTTTGGGTTGTCTCTTTTAAAAGAACTGATAAAAGTGTACAAAAACTGAGGAAATAAAAGACAAATCACAAAATCAGGAAGGTCATACAAGGTACAACTCCAGATCCTGTCAGCTCCTCCTTCCTTACATAGTTGGCTTTTTAAGTGTCCATGTTCCCACATGGTTCTGGTAATCCATGGTCACTGGTTGTGGAATAATTTAACTGTTGTTGTTAGTACAGTCACTTCTGTTATACAAATTAAATCCACTGCAGACTCTGTGGAATTCATTGATGTCATCAATGACATCAACGGCTGGGTCCCAGAATGTTCGGAAGACTCCGACTGGCTCCTCTCGTGTCACTGAGGGGATGCATTGCAGTTTGTTTGCATATCTTGACCTCAACAAGATGTTGGAAAGGTGGTCTCTCCTCCCCAGTACGGGCAGTGATCTCACTCTGAAGCCGCCTCTGAACGGCGAATAGCAGCAATCCAGAGGATTTATTCCCTTATGATGCAGGGCGAGCAGTAACTGGACGGCACCTCACATTCCCACTGTCCTTTTTCACCATTACGCACATGCCTTCTCCTCTTCTCTCACCACAGTCCTCTGCTCTGTCTGATTACCATTGAAAAAGATACCTGGTTGAATGACACTGGTATTCTTTGGCACAGTGGTAGAGGGTCATGGGAGGATGCGAATCAAGCAATATTACATCAATTGGCCAAAGGGGGGCGCTATAGTAACCGATTGAAATCACAAACTTTGAATGGGCATATCTCATGCCCCGTATGTTGTAGAGACATGAAACTTGGCACAGAGATGCCTCTCTTCATGAGGAACAAATTTGCTTCAAGAACCCATAACTTCCGGTTATATAGATTTTCCAACATTTTGAATGTTTTTTTAAAAACACTTAAAATCGATCTCTTCCTAGGAAGTTTGACCGATCTGCATGAAACTCGGTGAACATAATCTAGGAACCAATATCTAAAGTTCCCTCTTGGCAAAAGTTGGAAAACTTACTTTAACTGAGCTTCTATAAGGCAATGAATATTGGGGAGGGTGTGGCTCATCACATAAAGGTGTATAACATCTCAAGGGTTTCACCAATCACCACACAACTTTGTAGGCATATGACCACACATAATCTGAGGGGACCCCTCCATTATTGACCCCATCAAACAAAATGGAGGCACTAGAGAGCTAATTTCTTATCTAGGCCTAACCGCCATAAGGATTTTTACTAAACTTGGTAGATATGTAGAACAGGATGCCTCAAGGTGACTGGAGAAATGTAACTCTAATTGGCAACTGGGTGGCGCTATAACAACAGGAAAATGCTTAAAAATGGCTAAAATGCGACCAATCGCTGTGGCTCCCCCTGTGGCCCAATGTTGTTGTTTTTTTTTTTTTTTCAAATTTTTGGTATGACTAAGTCATGGTATGGTATGCTGTACTCATCATTAAAACACTGCTTATATTATCAGTAACAATAATTCCACAATTTAACATAACAATGACATTAGTTAATCTGCAACATTATGAGCACATTTACTATTACCTAAAGTACTTTTGTATCTTTACGTGAGTAAAATTTTGAATGCAGGACTTTTACGTAGAAATGTCCCTGTTTATAATGTAGAGAAAGTAAAGTAATTATACTTTTACTTAAGTAATATATATTAAATATATATATTATATTGTCCTGTCTTTGCTGTTGTATTGCTGTCAAGACCCAAAATGCCACAATGTGTAGTACATGTGCAGCTGTGTTTTGCATAAGGAGGAGGACAGGTTGGTAGGTGAGACAACTGCCAAGCAGCCCGAGTGGATTTTGTGCTTAAACTTAATTACACGTTGATCACAGTTTTGTCAAGACACAAACTGTAAACTGACGTGCAAAGTTTTAACATATCAGCAATATATGAAACTCACAAATTTACATATGAAACACACGGATGTAAGATATTCGTAATTTGCAGGAATGTACAACACCAAATTTTATTCTGGTGACTGGGTTGTCACAAGACATGTTAATAGGTTGTTTTTAACTTGCTGTTTGCAATGCAAGATTATTGTTTGCTTTTCTCTGACTGCTACATTTTTATAACCACTCTCATCCATCCAACAGAAAAGACATGTGGAAAAGCTCCTGGACAGGAAAATAACACCTCTTGCTGACTCATCCATGTGTGTTTTCTTCTCTTCCTTTTTTCCCAAGGGGACTAATGCCACGCACACTAGACAGCCAGATCACATTAGAGAAGACACCCAGCTACTTTGTCACCAGAGAGGCACCCAGACGCATCTCCAGCATGTCCCATGAGACCAAACTGATCGTTGTGGTGCGTAACCCAGTCACAAGAGCCATCTCTGACTACACACAGACTCTTTCAAAGAAGCCAGACATCCCTACGTTTGAAGAGCTGGCCTTTAAGAACAGAAGCCAGGGTATCGTGGACACTTCCTGGAACGCCATACGGATTGGGATGTACATTCTGCACCTGGAGAACTGGCTGCAGTACTTTCGCCTGTCGCAGATGCACTTTGTGAGCGGGGAGCGGCTGATCACAGATCCGGCAGGGGAAATGGGCCGTGTTCAGGACTTTCTAGGACTGAAACGAATAATCACGGACAAGCACTTCTACTTTAATCGAACCAAAGGCTTCCCCTGTCTGAAGAAGCCAGAGAGCAGCAGCCAGCCACGCTGCCTGGGCAAATCCAAGGGCAGGACTCACGTACAGATCGAACAGGAGGTCATAGAGCAGCTGCAGGAGTTTTATAGGCCATTTAATATCAAATTCTTTGAAACTGTGGGGCAAGACTTCAAGTGGGATTGAGAGTGCCATACAGAAACAGTGCTGTTTTTTAAAATGGCTACCTCTGGAGAGAAGTATAAATGAGGGTATCTTCAACAAAGGTTTATTGAGCTATGTATACACCGACAAAATAAAACAGGAGAATATACTACTCATTAAAATATAATCATATCAATGGTTTCACATCATGTTCGGTTTTAGGTTGGGTCATTCTGATAAGTGCCATTTCTTTAAAGATATATATACAGAACTAAGTTTCTTTACCATAAACATGACATATGAATTCATCAACAGCCAACAAGCATTTATACATTAACCAAGTCATTACCCAGCATCATTACAATGCTGTTCTGTCATTTAGCCAAACCTGACCTACATTTAAGGAGCTGTACATAACATTCAAAGCTATAATTCAGAGTCTGATTCAGGCTGTCTGCACACATCTCTCTACATAGAAAAGGCTGAACAAATGGTGAGCAACTAACAGTGCTAACTCCAGAAACAAAGCTACCAATGTCAACAGTGCTGACAAAGCTAACATTAGCCCCTTTTCTACCGCAGGAACTTTTCTCATTTACTCGGGATTTTGAAAAACCTTTGTGCGTTTCCACTGAAATTACCTGGGTAAAAAAACTTTCCCTCAACCCCAAACTTACCCTGGAAAAAGTATCTAGTAGGGGGGTAGGACTTTTCAGATTACCCGGAATTCTTGAGGGGCGGGGCTGTGCGCTGAAGAACGCTGATTGATGGAACACACACGCAGCGTTCCGCACTTCCTGGCATGGGCAGCCACTGCAAACTTTATTTCATTTCTACAAGCTTCAGTTCGTTTCTGTTTTGATTAAGGATGGGTACCGAAACCCGGTACTAAATTAGCACTGGGGCTAAATTATCAAAGACCGTAGTATTGATATGCTCTAACGGTATCGGTTCTTTTGTGCCGGCACTGAACTCCTCCACATACACACACCGACATGACACGGTAAACAGCCAAGCGGCCGTGGTGGAAACGAAGTGAAGACTCAAAAATCACTCGAGTTGACAGCAGCTACGCTCATTACTGTAAGTGACATTGAGCCTTAGCGAGTAAGAAGCCAACACTTTATCAATACATGTATTCAGCAAGGACAGCACGCTAGTTCGGCTAATAGTAAATTGTTAATAAGCTGAAATGACAGCTGTCTGTATGTAGACTAACTTAGTATGACACTTATCTTAAAATACTTTTAAACGTCACTGCTGGCGGAGCCAAATACAGGGCACACGTCAAATCATCTGTGTCATTACGCTAATTTGAATAAATTTTCAGGAACTTTGAGGTGCGGTGGAAACGCAAACCACACAGATTACCAGGAATTATTTTACCCAGGTAAATAAATTCCTGGTAATAAATGTTCCTGGGAACATTGGTGGAAAAGGGGCTATCGTTAACCTTGGAAGGAACCAGAGGGTCGATGCTACACTTCCGCAATGATACCATGGGTCATGATAGGTTTATCAGCAGTAACTTTTGTATGAGCACAGTATAGAGTGGCAGCAATTAGCTAACCAATGGGATACAAACACATAGACGGAGCATGACTTCCGTTCTCTGCTCAGGACGCCATAACTCCACTCTCTCTTTACACTGCAAATAGTTGTTTGCTGCTATATTATTGCTCTGAATGTTGTATACAGCTCCCTTACTGACGTTAATGACTTAAATATTCATTCCGCTCAAAATGAACCACCGGCTTCACTGTTAAAATGAGCTCTCAACATAAAGTTGCAGCGAAATGTCAAATGAATAATAAAATCAGCCTGATGATTACTCTGCAATGAAATTTATCTCCTTGTTCACAGAAGCTCATATGCAACGGTGACAAATTTACTGAATAAATGTACTGTAACTGAAAAAAAAAAATAACAGCTATATTAAAACAGATGCTATAATACTGATTAAGGTTTATCGTTCGTTGAACTTCAGCTCTTTCTGTGTCAGTATTTTTGTTGTGATCATCGAAATAAAAGGCAAAAGTCTTAAGTATTTATTTGAGATTTTCTGTTATTCTTGCCTACACATCAGTAAAAGTACTGTGTTCTTCTTACATCGTCCAGTTATACTATCCAAGCATATGTACTCTACATTTGCAATATCGTATTTTTGGGGATTTCATAACAAACACATCAATCAAATCCACCAGTCTCTGTGACATACAGGCGGTTCAGTCATTATCTGATGAGTCATACTAAAGTTGACCTTCACTCTAATCTCCTGACCAAATTTCAAAGAGCATATAACATACTAGTACAAAGAAGTTTATATTGAGTCTCATGAAAGATAAAACGTGTTGCCATGCGTGTCACTGATCTCATTAACTTTCACCATTCCTCTTTTGATGGATTTGATCGTGCTCTTTCTGAATGGGCCTCCATGCTAAGCAGCTAGATTAACCTGCTGAATTTGCACCCTGAAGCCAATCAGAGTTGTCATTAATAATTTCTATCGAGGCCTCCAAAATTCTCAACACGGAAGAGGAAGTAAATTGCCGAAAACCAAAGAATCTGTGCAAAAAGTAATACCCCAAATTAATGACATGTAAATTTATGCCTGATGTATCTGTGTCTGTGGAATGTGTCGACAAAAATGCACAGAGTTTTTATAGTACAGGCTACAGATGTCAGATTAGCACAGGATTAAGAACACAGACGACCTCTGCAATTATTTCAAACGAAGTCTCCAGGTAATACTTGGGTCCCGTAAGAATACAGCTTTAGATTTAACTTTCACTGTGAACTGACTACAGAATGACCTTCCAACACTGTTGAAAGTGCAAGCGCTGCCATGTTGTTTCGCGGTTTAACATTCAATTACCAAGTCTAATTGGTCTGAGATGCTGGCATTCTCCTTATATCAGTCCCTTTAACTGTTTTGATGGAACTGACTCATGATTTGTGAGTTTTGCTTGAAGGAGGAAATGCAGCAGTCAGCCACCATAAACAGTATGACTCCCACTTCCTGTTTACAGTGTTTCGAAAGAACATTTCAGGAGAAAAATAGGCAGCACAGTAGCATAATCTTAGTTGATATTTGAGCAGCACTGAACTAAATGTTCTTATTAATTAGGGTGCAGTATCAATACAATGTCAATCCCTCACTCCTGAAAATGCTCCATAAAAAACCCTTACAGTCAAATCACAGTATGTTGCTATGACTGCCAAACATGGTGCGTCATTCACATCCACACTCTCATCAACTGCCATGTCAAAGTTGCAAACTTTCTCTGTGTGTGTGTGTGTGTGTGTGTGTGTGTGTGTGTGTGTGCCCATCTCGTTGTATCATTCTTTGTCCCCTCTCTAATTCAGATTTTTATGGTCCCTGAATGCAGCACAAAACTCCTCATGAGTTCTGATTTTTTGTGTCACAGTGTGGACAACTGGTCAGAGCTGATCAGATCTTATTAAAAGATGAGAGGAGCAGCTGCTGCAGGAAGTGAGTGCAAACTTTTAGATCCAGCACAACAGTTAAGTTTCACTTTCACCACAACTAGGAGCGCTCAAAATAAACGGTCCCGCTCAAAAAAACAGAAAATACATGGCAGCAGATGACGTTATCGTGATGGGCTGCCACAAATGAATCAATGTGTGGGAAACCCTGCAAACATTTCAAAAAACACTCTTGCATACATTTTGCTAGTGAGCCATTAGTTAAGCTATGGCATGCCAGTGGTGGCCCACATGCCCAAGGTTGTCGACCCCTGATCTGAGCAAAGCACCCTGGCTGAAACAGCCAAGTTAAGCTCCTATGGTAATGCTGAAACAGTATTTGGGGTATGAAAAATTTCTCTGACTTCTCTCATAGATGTTTCACTTTCATTGTTTAATCCGCTGCTGCAGGGCTGTGAATTGAGCAGCCCTATCTAGTCACACTTAGACTAATGTGCCAAAGTGACAATGTGACCTTCCATATAAAGGAAATTAGATATTCACTTGCATTCCAGCTGTGCTCTTCCAGTGCATGTCCGTTGGCCAACAGCAGTATTTAAACTGTCATTTGTGATATTCTCCATTAATTTTTGATTAACCTGCCAATGTCGTCTGGAGCTGCCTGCTACTTAGTGAGCCATCAGCAGACACGCCAGTTTAGCAATAAGCTCAACTTTATCTCAGCTCAGTTAATTATAACTTTTCCCCAAGAATGTTTTGGGCTTGATGACATGGCACTGAGGAAGAAACTCCCACGCGGCTGCCACCATATGATACCCAATGAATACTATGATGTGCTATCAGTCCTCCATATGACTACTTTCCATGTGACTTCTGTTGAAGAATATTAGGTAAACTTTTTTAGGGGGGAGTATTTGTGGATGCAAGACATGTTGGGGAGAGGAAAATGGCAGCTGTCACAGCTTCTGCACATCTTTTCCTCAAATGCTTTTGCTCATTTAATTTTTGTGCTTTCTTGCAACATCGAAGGCATTGTGCACCTGCAATGTAACACCTGCAGTTGTGGCAATGAAAACATCTTGCTCATTGATGTGTATGATGTATTAGCTCCTCATTATGAAAGAACAAAAGTGTTCTCCTGGTAACTAAAAGCTGTCTGACCATTCTAACCTTCAAAGTAAATACCAGAGAAGCTGCTGTAAATGCCATGAACTTTGAAAGACTCTGAGGTAAAATACACCTCTGCCACTCATCAGAAATGTCTAACAGTACACAATAAAATCAATTATCACGGAGACCATTTATTTTGGCTCTTATTAAATGAAAAGAAATAACGAGGCAGCATTCAAATATGTGTTTTTTGCAGTTGCCTCTTACAGACTCCAAAGCTGTAGAGGTCTTTTATAACTCCTGCCTTGAAAAACCTATTGAAATTCTACTGAGGCTCCAACCCTGAAACTTCACACACTTTACAAGCTCGTGTCTGTAATCTCTATATTGCGGGGACGTCATCTAAAGAAAAACAGCTGCGAAAGTGCTGTGTCCCAGAAAGCAAAGTAACGATAGGCTGCTCCAAAAATTGCACCAATACCATAACAAATTCTCAAACACAAGCAAAAAGCAGAGAATATGCTATATTTATTGGCTTCTTGTACGATATGTACCAAGTTTGCAGCTATTTGTTTACTGATATTTCTTGAATTTTCCAAATGCAATTCAAGCAGATATCTTCTCACTGGAATGTGTACTTTCTCCTCGAGGACTTCTTCTATTTGGGGGACAGTGTTGAAGTATTTATATCGAGACATCTCCTTGGCCTCTGTAATGAGCCAATGCAATGGAGGATAATGAGGATTCTCCTTTTCTCCAGTGGACAACGAGAAGAGCAGACTTCCCTTTAGATGATTTGAAACTTGGCAGCCAGAAACCCCTCCAGAGGAAATCTCATTAAGCTAACCTCTACCTGCATCAATGCACCTTTTGAATATGTCATCATTCCCCAAGGTTTTTCAGGCACATGTTCTATCACTGCGTATCATACTTCAAGCTGTTCCTCTAAATTAAAATATGTACCCCTAAAAAAAATTGATTTATTTCCTCTGCAGGTGCACGCT